TGCAGACGTGTTCCAAGCCCCAATGGACTGGTTGAAAGCATTAGCTCCCCTGAACATGCCGCCCATGCTTGTCACTGCAGACGTATCCCATGCCCCAATGGGCTGGTTGAAAAACAGAGCAGCATGATAGAACATGTTGTCCATGTTTGTCACTGCAGAAGTATTCCACGCCCCAATGGGCTGGTTGAAAAACTCAGCATAATAGAACATGGATTCCATGCTTGTCACTGCAGACGTATCCCATGCCCCAATGGGCTGGTTGAAAGCATAAGCTCTATAGAACATCTCGGCCATGTTTGTCACTGCAGACGTGTTCCAAGCCCCAATGGGCTGGTTGAATGCATTAGCGTCATAGAACATGGTGGCCATGTCTGTCACTGCAGACGTATCCCACGCCCCAATGGGCGAATTGAAAGCCTTAGCATGCATGAACATGCCGGCCATGTTTGTCACTGCAGACGTGTTCCAAGCCCCAATGGGCTGGTTGAATGCAGAAGCTCCATCGAACATGTAGCGCATGTCTGTCACTGCAGACGTGTTCCAAGCGCTAATGTCTTCATCGAAGTGCGAGAGATACTCAAACAATCTGCTCATGTCGGTCACGCCCGAGACATCCCACTGCCCAATCCCTCCGTACGTGTCCAGAAGCTCCTGCCTTCTGCCATGTGCCCACTTCCGCACGGCCTTGAACAGCTCCGAATTGTCGGCGAAGGGACGAAAGGAGGCCACAGGAACCAGGCAAAGGAGGAGAACGACCAAAGCCATGAGTTTTTTGAGGCCCAGAGGCTATGCAGATTTCCTGACAGTTTCTGATCCTGGGCCAAGAATGGCCAAAGAAGACAGTTTCAACAAGTTTCAACGAACTCGTGGCACACACGCCGAAAAAGAGGCCGCGAGGACATGGCAGGCTACAGCTGCAAGCCTATCAAGAGCAATCAGCAACTGAATCAGAAACAAACTACAAACTAGATGGATGCCCTGCCAAAAAAAATAAAACATACAGTCAATTCCAATTAGCTCATATAAAGAATTGGCGCGCGTGCACGTTGCTGACATTTTCCAGGCTCGGCGCCTTGCGACTTCTCGGCAAGATGCCTTGTGAGATGAGGTCCGCGAGGTTGATTTCGATGCATGGGGTAACGGTGTAACATGCTTGGGCCAGGAAGCCTGGAGCTCCTGATCCTGCAAGCTCTTCAGCTTTTTGTTTACCACGTCTAGCTATCCTTTAAAGGTAGTACTGAAAGCAACGGGAGACCAATCTCCTCGTGAGATTTGTTTTGCCGTTACGCTTAAACTCAGCTTTTCCACCCTGAGGCATGCTTTCTCAGCGGCTCCCCGACAAATATGGATGAGTGAAACGCCTAAGGCTGCTGCTATCGCAGGACCAAACGTGCGCCAGCGGGGTACGCAATGGGCCCTGCGCCCAACGCTTCGGCAGGCGTGAGTGAAGGGGACGAGCCGGCCTCATCTAACTTCATCAGCTTCGCTCAAGATGCTACGGGTGGTCTTCCATAATCAAGAGTCCGTCTCGCACTCGCGCTGCCAAAATGCAGATATCTATGCGCCTATGCGGGAGGACTGATACGCATGCTCCACTTCTACTTCGAGTTGCTGAGCCTGGATCGGACTCTTGCCTCACGCTTGCAGTTTGCACAAGGCTGCGATCCACTGCCCGCGGGTGTGCACTGAATCAGTACAATCAAACCTAATCGGAAGCACATCTCGTCTGAAGCAAGGGCAGCACAGTTCACTGAGGAGGCCACTCAATCGTCCGCTGTGCATCGCTCATGTCCTGGGGCGAGGTTCGCCAAAAGAACAAGTCGGCTACGCCCGGCCGAGGCCCTCCTCCCGGGTCCGGGCCTTGAGGGAGCCGTCCTTGCAGAAGCCGATGTAAACAGCTAAGAGGCCTCCCCCCCCCCCCTCCTGTCCTTCCAAGCACCATCGACCGCCTCCAATGTGGACAGCGTGGGGTTCTTTTCATCTGGTACAACTCGGGCACGACTCAGAGCAAAGTCGATGAAGCCTCGCCGGCCGGTGTCACCCTTTAAGGTGCCGTAGGATGCCCGCAAGGCCCCCTGCCTTTACACCCACTTGGGGTCAGGATGCATCAAGTCCTCCGGGGTCTCCGGAACATCTCGGTCTCTCCTCACGGTGTGACGAAATTGACGCGCCGTGGTGCTGGCTGCAAGGAAAGCGCCTCCTCCACCACAGCAGCCGACGGCCATGGATCACGAAAAACCTCACTGCCAAGCCATGCCAAGCTGCGGCCCAAGCCACGAGGTCCCCGGCCTCCAGTCCCAGGCCTTCATCCGCAGAGTGGCCGGGCTCTTCTTGTAGAGGTAGCCACCTCGGCAGGTTCCGAAGCCCTGCAACATGCAGACTTGAGATGCCGTTGAGAACTGAGCGAAAGTCGGCCTTTGCAGAAACCTCGAGGATTTGAACTCCTACCCGTCCGACCCTCGTCCACAGGGATGCAGCTGGCCAGGACTTTAAGGTTCCCTGAGGCTTTCACGCCTTCCGTGCCAGCGAGAAAGGATTCGATGGTCTGGGTAGTCTTCTTTAGATCAGAGCTGTCGTCGAAACTCTCGGCTTCCGTTTCCTCCCGGCACGTCTCTATCTCCTTCTCCGCTTTGCCCGTTTCCGAAGCAGTCAGCGGCTCAGCCTTCTCGGGCTCCGCTTTGGGACTTGACGCTGTGTCGACATCCTTCGCTGCTTCCGCGTCCGTCGAGGCCGCCGTCGCCTGAGCCGCGACCTCGGGCTTGGCCTCGGGCTGGGTCTCGGGCTGCGGGGTCTCCTTGGGCACATCCTCAGAAACGGCGGCTGCCTTGGGAGGCCAAGCTCCTCCGCCTCCGCCGCCTCCGCCGCCTCCGCCTCTTTGCGGCGCTTTTCCTCCGGGGCTTTCGGACGGCGTCGTTGTTGCGGGTGAGCTGCTTGTCGATTTCGCCGCGGAAGTAGGCATCCGTCACAGGATAGCCGAGCTTGCACATCATGGGGTTGGACTTCAGGGCGTGGAGAAAAGCCTCGGTGACCAGCCTCCCACTGGCTGTGTTGTTGCAACGCAACTCCTGCGAGCCGGTCCCATGATTGCTCATGATTCCCTCAATGCAAACTTGGCGACGAAAACCGGCATTCCAGAAATCTCCAAAACCCACCCATCAACCCAACACAGGAGCTCGAAACCCCAGTTGCCCTAGTTTCTGGTTCTATCTCGCGGAACCTGGACATGAATTGGTTGTTTGCTCCTGATACACAGTCGGGTAAGACTTTACAGAGTGGGAGTAACGGTGTCTGGTGGGGTCTCTTGGTTAGTGAAGATGCGCGGCACGCAGGTCAGGTTCGCAGTGGTCGGTCCCGTGGTGTACGTTTTCTGCAACACCGTACCAAAACCATGTTCTTGCCCGTCGTCGAAATCATTGTAGCATTCCATCGCGGCATGCTGTCGATCCAATCGTGCTGTGCCTGCCAGTCTCGCACTTACTTCGGCCTTCACCATGGATTCGTTGTGACTGGTGTTTGTTTTGGAGAAGCTCGTAACTGTTCCTGCTACTGTCGGGATTTGCACGTGCATGATCTTCGCCGCAGTCCCGCGTGTGCCCCTGCCAAAAAGCATGGAAGAGGCCATGGGGGGAATACAATGGCAGACTTGTCCCCTGCTAGTACCTCACCCAGACTTTTAAAAACCCTAAACAGTCCTGGGCCGCCGACTCTGGGAGAAGGGTGCCTTCAGCAGACTTGTCCATGGCCTCGCGCAGGCCGTGCAGGGACATGCTCTGAGGGGATCTAAGGTAGGGTTTAAGGTTTCGGAAATGGTCCCTAATGGTCCCAAAAGCTTCCTACAATGGTCCCGGGAGCTCGGAAATGGTCGACAACCTCAGACATGCCCCCCCGGGAAGCTCGAAAATCCTGAGAGCCCCAGCAAACTCCTGAATCCTGCGTCCGTACATCGTATAAACCCATAAACCCTAAAACCTGAATTCCTAGATCACGACTGGTCGGGGACCATACGCCGGTAAGAGCACGCGTTGGCGGTTGAGGTAGGTTTGGGCTCTTAGAGGAACCTAGAAGCGTCGAACACAAAGCCTGAAGGTGCATGTGATTCAGCGGCGGTATCAATCTCTTTCTGGACGGAGGCTTAGGCTTCAGGGTTTTGGGTATGGGGTTTAGGGTTGAGGCTGTAGGAACTTTAGGGTTTAGGATTCCCTCAGTGGTTCTGATGGTAGCTGTCGTGCCTTCCCCGCGCTGCGCTTGGCTGATGTACCCGTTTTGGATGCTTCGAATGCAGACGCGCACGCACGGTAGAAGAAATACTGGCCACTGATGTCCGCTCAGGGAAACTCCAAAAAAGTACTTTCTAAAGGGCGACTGTGGGGTTCCCTCTGAAGGTAATATAGGGAATAAGGAAGCTACCTTGAGGAGAAGTCCCCTTTAGGTTTTCCCGATCCTCTTTCCACTTGCTCCCAAAGGGACACCCGTAGATATTCACCCTGGCGCGGCGCAGAGAGACCCTGAGCTCCTTGCCACAGAAGACCTCTGTGGGAGGCTCATAAGGTGCAGTCACCGGGCTCCTCCATGCCGTCAGCATCTTCCTCGCCCACATGGGAAGGAATCTCGTCATTTTGCTTGCAGGTATGGATTTCGGACAGCTCGGAGGCTTGGGGCGAGCTCGCTACGAAACGGATGAGGTCCAGCGGGTACGTTCGGACTCGCCAACGTAGGCAGGAAAGAGCAGCATACACACCCGATGCCAATGTTCCAAGACCCATGCCTTCCGAGATGAGCGCGTTCGCTGCAGCGCCAGTCGGCTCAATGAGCTCGGAGATGTCCTGGAAGGGAGCTTTCCTTTCGGTTTTAATAAGTTGGGGGGAGCTGTAAGGAATGTTTCCGAGTCCAGCTAGCTTCCCATACGAAGCCTCCTGAACGTGGAAACGGCGGGAGTCATCTCCATGACATCCCCTTGTATCCAGGGTTCCGGACCTGTGGCAACGCCGGAAAGCTGCAGCAACACCTGCAGTCAGCACTCCAGGTGAACTCATAGAGAGCGCTGCATGAATGCACAAACCTTAAGCCCTACACCCTTAATCCTAAACCCTAACAGGGGCACCTGTGATCGGCAGTCCGCCCGGCCCACGCAATTTTTAGAAACGCGCCACGGACGGCGTAGCATTGGAGATCCCACATCCGCCTTGGTCTCCAGGGCAAAGGCGGCGTTCGCCGCACCGTTCTGTAAGCTTAGTTTCCTTAGCGACTGTCTACAGCAAAAAGCAGGAAGCACGGACACGCACTCTTTTTCAGGGTGTGGAGGGCGGGTGCTTTAAATCATGCATGCGACATGCAGCCGAGCCAGTCGCTATAAGGATGTGCGGTGCAAGACAGCGCAGAGCTACCCTAAGCCACAAAACACACGTGAAAGGAAAAACACGAAGCGTTCTGTAAGCTTAGTTTCCTTAGCGACTGTCTACAGCAAAAAGCAGGAAGCACGGACACGCACTCTTTTTCGTCAGGGTATGCTCGGAATCGAAGTCTTGCAGTCTTCAGTCTGCTAGGCTTTTCTGCCCCCTCTTTAGCTCCGAGCATACCGCTGACTGTTCTCCCCCCTCCGCGTGCGGTTGAGGAGCTGCCTGCCAGACAGGAATTTTGAGAGCATCAAACAGGTGTGCCACCCATGCTTTTTTACGCGTGCCAACTGCGGTGCCAGGGGGCGTCCTCCGGGTGTAGGTGTGCTATGCCTAACGGCGCAGCCAGCATGAGAAGAGGCATTGCCGTCCTCTCGTGCATCCTGTGCGAGAATCTCTGTAGGCGATTACGACTGAGCTCGTCTGCCCAGGTGTTGTA